AAACGTCAAGGGTTTCGTCAAACGTCAGGGGTTTCGTCAATCGCCAAAGGTTTCGTCAGACGAAACCATGACGAAACCCTTTCGTCATCGCAAAAATAATTACGTCAGGCATCATTAATACAGGTACTTCGGATATTTCTCTCCTGGATCAGAGAATGGAACCAACGAAAATATATCAATCATTAGATCCGTCAATTACAAGGTGGACGTAATTGTTTGATTCTTGAAATTGTATGTTTAATAACGGATTCCGGATTATCATCATTAACAAATTCACTATTTGGGTCTTCAGTGTCGAGGATTGTCGGATACTGAAATGCAATGCCGAGCCTGTAGTAAGGTTCATCGGATTGATCTACTGGTACATAACGCATAAATGAAAAAAATGCATCACCATTTAGACCAAGTGATCTTTGCATTAATGCATTATTGTAAAAATCCAGTAATTTTTCTGCCATATATTTTGGTAGAGCAACTTCTAGTTATACCAAGATTGAAGATTTCCGAGTTAGGAATCTTTTGTTTTCGAACTATAAGATAAATAAAAATAGTCTAAGTAAAAAAAATGAATAATTTAATTAAATAAAAAAACAAATGAATTTATTATTAGTGATAGTATAACTTGGTGAATTAATTCCATCAGCACCGATCAATAAATCACCAAATTCTTTGGTTCCATCATCAAACAAAGCCCAAACACCATCATCGCTTTCTTCATATCCAACACATTTTTTATCCCATTGGATATCCACACCTTCCAATAAAACATCACGTAATCTATTACGATATGTAACTACACCAGCAAAATCATGTTTAAGAGGCTCTATTTCATAGATGCTCTTATATTTTTGTTGTGGCAGACAAATTAATTGTCTTCCAACATGGTCAATAAGTGATACAGTATGATATTCTTCAGGAGCTGGATCAGGCATGGCTTCATGAAAGCGAGCTTGAACTTCAGGTGGACTACAATAGAATAAAGAGTTAACACCTTTTCTACTGATGTAAATGCTGTATCCTTGCCATCGGTCTATTTATGTAAATGATAAAGGATATTATAGTAAGTAAACTCGCATTTTATTCAAGTAATAATTTTAATTGATATTGAATAAGATGAACCTTGAGGACCAGTCTCACGATCGAATATCTTGACATTAAATTTATGGCCAATATGTTTTCGAATTGACTGATAAGTGCAAAGTCCACCTATACCAGCACCAACAATTAAAATTGTTTGAGTTTTATTCGTATTAGTTTAATTAATTCCGAAATAAAATTTTAATTGCGTGGTTTTTTTCGAGTTTTCAGAAGGACAGCTTTATATAATTTCCACTTAATTATTGTTATTATTAAAATTTCTGCGAGATTTTTCGAAGCGAGTCTCCCGTTTTTTCCCATATTTGTACAGAAAATAAATATGCGATTACTCATGTTGATTCCAAGGCATACCGTATCAAATGAATTTAATCTACAACTCATTATGTATAATTAATTTAAAATTCGAGATAGCATCTGGATCGTCATTGGCAAAATTAGTGCGTTAAAGAATCATACTAAAATGACTCAGTTTATCATTACATCATTACATAAAACTTAATTTTGTATAAATTAGCGAACTGACTATATATACCCGGGAGTGGACGATAATAAATAATTCCACGGCGGAAAAGACAGATTTGCTTCTTTTTCAATTTTTCAACACTATGAGATATAAAGGTCCTAATAACCAGTGTTGGCACTGGACATATGTCCAATTATTTTTCATGCTATTGGATTGAACTGGACATTGGGCATAATATTTGGACATATGTCCAGTCCAATATGTCCAATAAATTTAAAAAATATAAAAAAATATTTTTGATCAAAATATAATCTAAAAAAAAGTTTTTCTTAAATGATTTTTCCATATTTCCACTAATTTTTAGCCCTAATACAGTCAGGGATTTTACCAAAAATGGATATTGAAGATCGCACCTTTTATAGTATAAGGATGTCGATCAGAAGGTTCTAGATTTCGTAGCACATGAACATCAACCAATCAAATTAATTAAAAACTTATATACGAGCGAATATGTTTTATTATCAACGAAGCTATTAACGAAGCTTCACCTCTTATTAATAAATATTTTAAATAATAATTTATTCTAGTTAATTAATATCTCCTTTACTAATTACATATTATAATATTCGATTTATACTATTAAACAATATCACCCATATACACAGTATTGTTTAAAAACATAACCCGTATCAGATATATTGTTTTGTAATTTAAATCTTTCTTGAATGCCTTGAGTATTTTCTTTCGTGAGTTATATTGGTACCTATAAAGTTGCAACTAAATTAAACTATGAAGGTTAAATATAAATAGCACTTTAAATTTTCGTTTAAATATAAAGATAAACTTTTAAGATCGTCTTAACTGATGACGATTTTTAACTTTCTATACGAAGTAAATACCTAACTTTAACATCTCATTTACTTTAACCAAGAAAGGTTACCATAAGGGATTTTTTGGGATGATTAAAACTAGACGTCTCGAACTACGTATTCAAAGCCTTTTCGGTTTTACTAACTATTGAAAAAAATTTTTTTCAAAATGTACAACGTTTGTGGGAGAAAAACTATGTAAGAGCCAATCACATTCAAGAATGCCCTTGTAGATCATTCTAGAATGCGATTTCCTTATTTGGTAAAATCCCTGACTGTAATATAAATGCTAACCATAACCTTAATGAACTTTTTATGCATTTATCATTATCACATGATTACGACTTTCCAGTGTGATAGTGGAAAGGATTTTTAATTGGCTATTTGTCACATGATTATATACAGTGATATTGTCTAATTGCATATACTCTTTAAGTGCATAAAAAAATTTTGGCTTTTAATAATTAACACCAAAATGGTTATTATGATTTAAATGCATATACTGTCTATATGCATAAAAAAGTTTCTGACGGATGGCATGCAATTAGACAGTATAGACTGTATTTGATTTCCAATACATTTTGGTCCAATGGATTGGACTGGACTGGACAAGTGTGGTCCAATGTCCATGTCCAATGTCCATCCCAACACTACCAATAACCTAGTCTGGACTGGGTCGGTTGAACTAGTAATAAAAACCAAACTAGACTTTTAACACTGCTAGCATAATATAGTGCTGTTTCAATTAATGATTTTTGATTGATATCTTAAAGGGGAAATTTGAGAAATTTTCAAAAATGATGACAGATTTTTTTTATTTAAAGCACAAAAGCAGTTGAATTAATAAAATTTTGCAGTATAGTTCTTTAAAGTTGTATTTTTTTTATGATTTATTAAAAAATTTATCAAATAAAAATTGATTTTCCAAAGATTATTTTTGTTAATTTCCCTCTTTTTGTGGCACCTAGCCCAATTTTTTTTTTTTGACATAAAGCTACTCAATACGTACCGTAAAGGGTCATATAAAAGATCCCCTATATATCAGGTCCCCATGAATTAGACCCGGGCGCGAATTACAGAATCTACATTAATCAAGCTTGGTTTTTTTCAAATATCTAGACTACCTGCCATAAATGCAAAATGTGCATACTCTTCAAAGTTTTTTTATTAATGATACAGTATAAACACTCAGCCGTATACTAGACCCGGATCTATTGTAGGTTTTAAAATTGGTGGAATGTAAGAGACCCGAAGGGGGAGGGATTTGTGATTTACATGTAAAATTTTAAAAAATTTTTCTTTCAAAAAATATTCCGAATTGTTATGTGACTATATAAAAATTTTCCGAAATAGCCGTGGTTCTATATAATTTTTTTTACTATGAGGGAGAGGGGAGAACACTGGGGGGATAATGTAAAACACAGAATCAAATTGGTCTCGTCTAAAAGATAAGGATAATAAGCATATATTATACTAAATATTTTATAGTAAATACTAACCAGAAATGTGACGACCAAATTCACCGAATATTTTAAATCTTCTAGCATTTAAAACTTTTAGGGTATTTTCTTGTTCCAGATAAAAATAACACAAACAGTGCCATTAGATTGAAAAATTGGACTAAAAATATAATTAAAGAGACATTCTTCTACATAACCCATCACGTTCTAATTCGTAGTAGTGCAGCAAGCCGGCTTAGCCGGCCCAGCCGGTTCAGCCGCGGCTTAAATTACTGCGGCTGAACCGCAGCAAGTA